ATTATTTTATCATTTAAAAATACCATAAAATAATTGATTTATTTTATAAACTGATCATAGTGAAGTATTAAATAATGTGTAATATTTCATAATTTATTATACAATATTTTGCTTAGACTATAATTATTGTGCAATATTTTGGAGCATAATAACTTACATAAATTTACATTTATATTTTTGCTGATACATTAGATTATATAAATTTAAAAGAAATAAAGACTATTAATTTTTTAATTAGAATAAGTTATTTTGTTTACTTTTTATAAAAATTTTGTTGAAAGAGCAAGTAGATAATAGTAAAGAATATAAACTTTATTTTATTTTTAAAAAGAGAGTATATTTTTCTTCAAAAGTAATAAAACACAGAGCTAAGTATATAGCTAGTTTTTTTGTCAATAAGTAATAAACTTTGAGCTTGTTAGCAAGTAATATATAAGAACTATTTTTGAATAATAAGTACTATCACTACAGTGAGTAATAAACTCTAAACCTTCTAACAAGTAGCATATTAAAACTATCTCTAAATAAAAAATATTAATTTATAGTTTTTTTTAATCTTATATTTTTTTCTAACATGATTTGTTGTTTTGTTAAAAAATTTTTGTCAAAAATTTTAATATAAGAAATTGTCAAAAAGAGTTTGTTATTAAAAATAATATATAAATACTATATTAATAATTTACACTAGTGTATACTATAAAACATAGATAGATACTATATAATTTGTAAATTAATACAGTATGATATAAAAAAATTTTATTGTAACTTTAATATTTAATTTAATTTTTTTTTTGTTAAAATTCAAGAAGTGGTTTTTTAGACAAATATTTGAGTTATACAGTAATATGTATTAGTATTTTATACACTAGTATACAAATTGCCTAATTTTATATATAATAAATACATAACAAATTATAAACTGTATGCTATATAACTAATATACTATATAAGCATCCTGTATTTCTACTAGTTAGAACTTTATATAAATTGACAATTGTTCATGTTTCTTGCACTAAAAATTTCGTAGCGACAAACATCCCAATTCGGAGATCATGGAGCCGATAAATTTTTGCAGCATGACTATGATACTCATATTTAGACCTGAGATTTTGTTTACTTTCTAATTGCAAACCAGTACTGACTCTATAGTATCATCAAATTTTTTGATCTTGGTGGTGTTTTATAAATTTATAAACTGTATAAAAAAACCAAACCAAGTTTAACTTGGGTTTGAAAGCTTATTAGTTAAGGCCTGGTTTTAAAGTTAATTGTCCGAAGCGTAGCAATGGACATGATTTTGTGTTGGGTTCCAGTCACGTGCACACATGCTAGCCAATCATCTATAGAGGTCGACACGGATCAGCCCGATGTTTTTTCTTCGGACATTAACGGTATCCGTTTTCCTAGTAATATAAAGACCTTAACAAGCCCCCGTCCCTGGTAAAGCGTTATTCAATTGACGGTCCGTGTAACATACACATGTAGATCTCGAGCTGCGGAAACATTTTAACATTTGATCGTTGCTAAATTTTAAACTCACTTGTTTAATCTGTTTAAGCATGAGTCGCGGTAAGCAACTTAATAATTTACTTTCAAATTTATATTAATCTACAATGCTGAAACTTGCATATTGTCTTTAGGCTCAAGTGCAGGTTATGATCGCCATATCACTATTTTTTCCCCTGAAGGCCGTTTATACCAAGTTGGTATGTCAAAGGCAAATTGCCATTAATGAAATAGCCCTTGAAATAGATAAATGATATCTCACAGAACAGCTGCATTCAATTTCTAAATAAACTTTTCATGTATGGATTATATATGCTTACTGTAACAGAGTATGCCTTTAAGGCAATATCAAACTCTGGCATAACGACCGTAGGCGTTCGCGGTCAAGATAGTGTGGTCATCGTAACACAGAAAAAGATTCCGGTTTGTTTATTCTTTTTTTTTTTCTGTCTTTAAAAGATAATACATGTGATTATTTACTTAATTATTTATAGGACAAATTGTTGGATCCATCTACCGTTACGCATATTTTTCAATTAACGCCATATGTTGGTTGTGTTATGACTGGCTTGATCGGTGTGTTAGAGTTCAATTACTTGCATTAATTGATGAAAGTAACTTATCATCACATTATTATATTTAAAAGCTGATGCTCGCGCACAAGTGACTCGTGCACGACAAGAGGCTGCAGATTTTCGGTACAAATTTGGATACGAGATTTCTACAGATATGCTTGCAAAAAGAGTGGCTAATATCAACCAAGTATATACACAACACGCTGCCATGAGACCTTTGGGTGTTTGTGAGTGTTTCGTTTGTTACTTAAATGTTTGAAAAAAAAGTTATAATATCTTAACTATAAACACTAGCCATGATTCTCATTGGATATGACGAAGAACGAGGTCCGCAACTTTTTAAATGCGATCCTGCTGGTTATTACGTCGGATACAAAGCAACGGCTGCTGGTGCTAAACAACAGGAATCTTTGAATCATTTGGAAAAGAAACTTAAAAAAGATCCAAATTTAAACTTTGAAGATACTGTAGAGGTCTGTTGTTGATCTTTTTATTTTTAATATTAGATAAATTTTAATTATTAATTATTTCTTTGATGTTCATTTAAATAGTTGGCAATAAATACACTTTCATCCGTTTTGTCTGCTGATTTTAAAGCAACCGAAATCGAAGTTGCTATTGTTACTCGAGAAGATCCTAAGTTCCGAACATTATCTGTTGCTGAGATTGAAGCACACCTTCAACGTATTGTAGAAAAGGATTAAAGTGCATACTGTTCATATATTTAATAAAGAAATGTTTATTGATTGATGAAAAATATTTATAACTATTGTTAAAATATTTTGATTACTTATTTTGTTAAAAAAAATAAATAAATAAAAAATAAAAATAATAATAAACATGCTTAAATGATTTATTTTTAGGTATAGATTAATTTTTAGACAGCCCTGTTAATTTTCACAAGTTTATGAATCATCTGAATATTTCCGTCCAGATTTTTTCTGAGATCTAAATTTCTTATCTGACTTTCGCCTTTGATCCTCCTCTTTTTTACTATATTTTACAAAAAATACAATTAATACAATATATGCATATTACATATATAAATACTCACAGTTTTTCAATTCTTTGTAATGTTTCTTCGCTTGGACCTTTTGGAATTTCAGCAGCCTTCACTATAATTTCATATAATTTGTCTATGCAATCTTCAATATTTTTAGCTTGTGAACGTGTTGTTTCAGAAGTTATAATAATTTCGCCCTTTTTGTTTATACGATTTGATTCCTAATGACACAAATTTTTACTATAACTATTTTATAATTAACAAAATTAAAAACTAAGATTGAGAATTATTCTGCTACTTGGATCGCTAGTTTCTTGCGTGCATATTCAGGTATCCAATCTGCCTGATTCAAATTAAATCGTAGGTCTACTTTTGTGTTAACTGGTTCATTGATAATAACTATGATAATGAGTTCATCTTTAATTAACAATTAAATTTATATAATATATTAGTTACCCTTGTTCACATTTTGTCCACCAGGTCCACTACTTCGAGCAAAGGTAATGGTTATCACATCTGTTCGTTTTTATTTTATTTTATTTTATTTTTTCATTTTATTTATTTTATTTGATTTTTTTTTTAAATTTTTGCCAAAATTACATGGTAAAAAAGACAAATTTTTGAAAATAATTGGAGTAAAAAGATACATTAAACACATTTACCTTTTGGAATTGATTCTTTAGAAAAATTTTTTATCCAATTTTTAGCTCGCTCTATATTTGAAGGAGTATCTAAACTAGATATCCATCTTTTTGCTGCATTTACTAAATTCATCAGAACTGACTTGGTATTCTTTTCAATATCCACGTGAGTGATTTATAGTTTTTTAAGATTATCGTTATATAATATGCAGTTGTCTAGCTATTTCTAGCCTATGTAGTACAGTATAAACGACAACTGTTTCCCCGATAGCCATTTCTCCACCTGATTTATCGGCGAAACGGCTGTCGGCGAATTTCACCAGCCTATTACGGCAACCACCTAACCAAATTCGACTGTAATTGTTTAATTATAAACATAAAACGATCAATGACGTAAAAATTTGGCAGCCAACCCGATTATAAGATCAACACGGAACATAAAATTCAAAAAATAAACAATCGGAAATAATTTTGCATGGAAATTTTGCATTCGTAGTAAAAATTTTTCAATCCAATAAGTATCCTTACCATATTTGCGCGAAATAACGCCTTGGGCGTTATTTTAAAACAATTTAAAGAGGGCTAATGATTAATTTAACGGAATACAATCATAATTTTATTGTTGAAATTTTTGCTCTCGAATAACGCCCATGGGCGTTATTTCGCGTAGATACAATATGTATTACTTTAAGGATCGGTCGAATTCAGCGTTATGGGATCATAACTTTAGCATTCACATTATAACTAAGATTGCCATGAGAAATTGATTTCTTTAAAAACCCTATTAGGAACGTTATGTAATCTTCATTCCGGTACCGACGATCATCAGGAATGGTATTTTCGCGATGTGGGTTCTTTGCCTTGAAAATGACCTTACGGTACATGATACTGTAAGGTCATTTTCAAGGCAAAGACCCCATGTAACGAATTCTGAGAGCAGGGACACGGAAAAATTTTCGAAATTTTTGGTGATTTTCGAAATTTATCCAAATAAATGTGATTTTTTTTGCAGATCTTTAAAATTGACCAATCAGAATGCAAACCAATATCACGTTATATCACGTTACACCTAATTTCATAAAATATAATCGAAATTTATCAAATTTATCAAAAATTGGCAAAAATAATCGAAATTTTATCGAAATATTTGCAAAAAAATAATCGAAATTTTTCTGTGTCCCTGTCTGAGAGAAGCAAAATCACATAATACTGTTTAATGTCTAACAAGGAATTTTATTCTGGCTATTTAGGCAATATAGTATATTAATAGAAGAAAGGTTATGTTTTTAATAGCTTTAATCTTGTATTTAAAAAGAGCAGACACCAGATTATAGTTATATGTTGAGTTGTTAAAATATTGTACTACAATTTACTATACGAATTATTTACAAATAACTAGACAAAATTTGAAGATTTTTATAAGCAGTAATAATAATAAATTTGTCAAACTTGATTTTTTTTTTAAACTTTGGCGATCTTGCTTTTATTGTTTAGGAGTAACAAAAAGCCTGCAACAACTGAATGCTTTTAACCTTTCTACTTTTTAATAAAAACTCACTTGGCTACTCAATAGTGCCCAAGTATAAGGTATGGAACAGGTTGGGTTTAACTCGAAATTTTGCAAATTAGACCAGGTTCAAATTATTGATCTATTATAAATCAGGTCAGGTTCAGGCCAGGCCTATTAAAGTATTGAATCATCTGTTTATTAACCTGTAAAGCCCAATCAAACCCAATATAATTTTAAAAAAGTTTTTACCCAGAAATTATACTTTGAGCAGAAATATAGTTGTTAGATAAAACTTTAAGGTTTCATATAGAATAATATAGAATAACACTCTGTAGTGTTTATTGTTTAAAGTAATTTTTAAAATTAAGATAATGCATAGTAAATTTACTAGTTTTGCAAATAGATAATCATTGATTATCAAAGTTCGTAACAAAAGATCTTAATTTTTTTTTACTATTCAGTCAAAGTTATTTCTTATAGCTAAGAGTAAGTTGGTTTTCGGATTATTCTAAAAATAAAAGACTTGTTTTTGAGTGTTTCAAAAATTTCTAAATTGTCTCAACTATTAACATAAATGCTCAAGTGGCAGATCTACAATATAGTTATTATATTTATTATTAAATTGGCAAAATAAAGCAAGTTATGTTATATTTTAGTCACAAGTGATAATAAAATAACTTATTAATTTAAAGAAATCAGTATAAAAAAAATGAACACAAAGCATTCAAATATTATCAAAAATCTGATAGTAATTTAATTTTAAACCCAACACTAATCTTTAGTGATTGTAATTGATCATTATTTATTGACTTGACTAAGTTGATATTTAAAAATCAGCTTAGCCAGCTAAGTCAGAATCGATTATTTGAAGTTCTATTTGATTAAACTTCAAAAGTTATTAGAGATTCCTCAATTTTTTGTCTTGACCTTGCTCGTATTTTATGTTCATTAATACTCTTGCTAATATTAATCTAAGTTATATGATGAATTTTTACAAATTTTTATATATTAAAACTTTCTCATATATATCAACTTTAATATAATCTCTTGTTAATATCACTATTAATATGAATTTAAACCAATTCAAATAGGTTGATATAAATAAGAGTAGACTGTATAACCTATTGTAGTTGGCTAAGCTAATTTTTCAAAAAATCAGATGACTAAATTGGCTAAGTCAATTTTATTGACTAATACAAAATTGACTACAAACACTACTAACCTTTACTTAAGCTAAAAAGTGTTTAATCATATAATCAAGTTTTTTTTTTCAAATTATACAAATTAAACTTGGTAAATTAATTGTCAGTAAATTAAGTGTTGGTAAAATAAATGTGCCAATAAAATATACATGTTAAATATTTGAAAAATAAACTTAATGAAGTCTTGTATCTACAAAAAGAGCATTAGTGAAGTAAGCAGAACTAGTTTAATAAATAATACCAAGTTCATTTGATTAAATTAATGTGAAATTAAGTTGTAGCATAATAATGATAATAGTTTAAATAATAATTATATTTATTGTTAATAATAATTACAGTTTAAACTGAATTGTTTAAATTGATATTCGTAATTCCAAACTTGATTTTATAGATTAATTTTGAAAAACTCTAACAGAGATTCACAAACAGCTTTGTTTAAATAACTGATTAAGAACATTTTTTTTATTACTTTATACTTTCTTAAAGTATACTAATTAATATAGTAAAAATTAGTGACACCAATAGAAATATGACTTAAATCATCCAGGATTTATATGATTAAAGTTTAATTTATCTTGAAGTTACTTAAAATAATAACTAATATACTTACACAAACCAGACTAATGCAAAATTTAAGTATAATGTAAATATATATAATGTATATCTACAAATTTAGATATTTTATTTTTAAAATATATATTGGTTAAAAAAATTATCAATCATTATATTTACTAATTTATTAAAGTAATATGATATAATGCTTTAGTAAATATTTAAATTATTTGCAAAGCCATTTTGACAAAAATGCATTAAAATAGATAATAAAAAATTTTAATACTGTAGTAAATTAAAATATAACTTTACTTATTGTTATGATTATTTGTATCATATCTAGTGATAGAACCTCTTGAATTAATAATGATAAATATTAATAAATTAGTTGTTATTAACTAGAAGCTACTTAATAATAGGCAATATCATTCTCTATTAAATTTATAAAGGTTTATCTAATTATAATTTTACATACAGTATACTGTATATAATATGTATATAGTTTTTAATTAATCACATATGAATTATTAGCAATAATTAAATTATTATGATTAATGATTTTTTTATTATTAAAACTCAAAAGTTTGCTAAAGTTATAAAAATTATAATATATATTAAATTTGGAATTTGGAATAAATTTGAGATTTGGGATATATATAAAAGATAAATACTATTTGGGTATTTGACACTTTTAATATTAAAATTCCAAATAGGTTTTAACTATTTAGAATTTGGGATTTTATCCTGGACCACTAATTTGGGCAGCAAGTATAGTTTTAAATTCATTTCTAGTCAATAGTTTGGATTTTCAAGATGATTTTTAATATTTTTACTAGGACAGTTGGGTTTTAAAATTGTTTCTAGTTAATGTTTTGGATTTCTGGTATAATTTTGGCTTTCTGCTAAAAGGTATCAAAATGTTACAATACTATAGCTTCTTGTAACTATATAGCATGGTAACAAGGTCACCTGGTATAGAGATCCTGCTATTGGAATATATACAGAGTGGATGTGAAATATACTTAAGTATCTATAGCAGAAGGCAAACAGTTCAGTATTAGAATAGTGTATTTTTAACCTTTATTTATTATAAAACAAGAGAAGAACCTCCTTTAGAGATTCTAAAGAGAGTTATACATTATAAGAGAGAATTACAAAGACTAATTCTATATAAGAGAAAAGTAAGAACTCCTTAGATATCTATTTTTACAAGAAGAGATTAATGCTCTCTTTATATACCTTTTACAGAATAGAAGAGAGAATTGAGAGTAATGTAACATTGTACTTGAGAGAGTTAAGGGACGTGTTGAGGGAGTTGAGAGCTGTATTGAGGGAGTAGAGAGAGTTAAGGGAGATAAGGGATATGTTGAGAGAATTGAGGATTGTGTCAAGAGAGTTAAAGGTATAGTTGAGGGAGTAAAGGGCCATGTATAACTTTAGCCACAGTATGTGTCACAGTGGCTTTAACTCTTTGTTAAATACTTATACTAATAATAATATACATAATACAAATATAATAAATAATAAATATTCAATATAAAATACGAGTTAATAAATATAAAGCTAAATAATATAAATATAAAATATAAATAAACTATAAAATATAAAACAATACTACTATACTAGACTACTTTATATTTTAAAAACCTGTTTTACAACATTTATATATAATTTTAATTTTTTTAACTGATAATTATTAGCTCCTTTATTGTAAATTAGTAATTTATTATTTTATCTTACTAGAGATATTATTATTTATTTATTTAATATAATTATCTTTTTAGTATAATATTATCAAGATACTATCTAATTATATTTTTGTTAATAGTTTGTTTATAGTGTATACTAGTATGATTTATTTATATTATA